AAATGATCAGCATTTCATTTCAGTGTTCTTGTTTGAAATAACTGTCAGACACATTATTTAAGTTTAAAATGTCTTTGATTCATGCTGACATTATCCTCTTACTTCAGATACTAAGCCACGTCTTTGCACTAAGACATCTTGTTAGTAGCATAGCCCTGTTTGTAAACCCACAGCATGCAGGGTCTGAATCTGATGGAGGTGCTGTGTGTTCTCAGGGAGAACCTGAGCCAGTGGGAAAAGATATCGCGGGGAGAGGCGGAGGACATCGTGCCCAGCAGGCCTAGTGATTCAGGCCCTGTCAAGGTGGACAACTGACTACCAAAGGGGTTGCTGGCCCACCAAAGGAATACAACCTGAATCCTGCCACGGACCTGGTACTCTGTAGGGGGGGGACCCACATCCTGTGCTAGCAGGAGACGGATCAGCTACAGGCAACTTGACTTTGAAAACACACAGTTACCTCATTGGGTGACGGAGGTGTCAACACTGACGGTTTCACCGATCCCAGAGACTGACAGACAGCCGATGGGGAGGGACTTCAACCCATCACCCAACATCCACTCAGCTTGGGAATTTATTTGGTAGAATGGACTTGTGCCGTTTTTGGTTGTTTTATTTTAGCTGTTTTATGTTATTTTATGTTTTTTTTTTTTTTTATTATTATTATTATTTGAGCTGATTCTTTCATGGTCTTGTATTTGCAGAGGCCTTATTCTGAACCTTTCACAGGCTAGAATATGTGAAATCTTATTGTTGGTTCAGGCTTTTATTTTATTTTTTGAAATGGTACTGTTTGCCTTCTGTGGTAGGTTTATCGTACGCGCACTACTTCAGCAAGGTATTCCCAGAGACAGAAGGAATGTGTAGAGCAGATGTATGGTGTAATGCCACCTTACTGAGAAGGTGGATTTCAGAATGTTTTTTTTATTACTTTTTGAGCAAAAATCCTTTGCAGTACTTGAATAAAGACATAACAGCCTATTCTAGGTGGAGATGGCAGAAATCCCCTGCAGCATATTGTACAAAACATGGATGAACTGTGACAAGAGGAGTTAGATAATGTCGACACTTGTGAACACAGTCACAAGAGAGTCACAATGTTTCTCCCTGAAGTGGACCCCACAGCACTGCCCCCGGCCCCCCCTGGCATTTAGGAACCTGCTGCATAGTACATCAGCTTTCCTCTTGATTAACAGGATCTGATCCCAGGCCAGCAGTAATAGTAACATTTGTAGGACCGAGTTCACAAGACGAAAAAAAAAGAAAAGATGCACAGATAGCATCTGTTTCGCATCAGTTATAGTAAGCCGAGACTGCATACAATTGAATTTCCACTCTCATAACAATTTTCACGGCGCTATCACAGCATAAATTATTTTACACTACAATCTGGTTCCTCCTCATTAATCAGTAATCATTTGTACAACCATGAAAAAAACACAACTAAAATGAGGATAGTGTCCCAGCAGAGTATAAAGAGTTGTGTGTTTGCAATGACACAACAAACTTTGCCTCCTAACTATTGTATGTAATGTCCAGACAGCACCCTAATTTATACCACATGGTTGAGACGTGATGAATTACTGAGGTTTAAATTAAATATATGGTGATGGGTGGAATAAGTTCTCTCCTTGACATAGATAGGTGTCCTTGCAGGTTAAAATCCGTGGTGTGAAACATTTATGACACTGAACACATTTTGCTGTTGATGCCAGGCACAGCAGCTAAACAGAAGCACGAGGTCGGCTTCATATTTTCCCATAATGTCAAACGTGTTAAGATAAAGTGCATCACATGTCTATCTCTGGGATTGCAACCTCAAGAATGTTGGTTGACTCTTTGCAGGTGTGTAACAGACGTTTCCCTCACATCCACGACCTGTCGAAGGAAATAAATCCTCCTCCTTTACGCTGACTCGCCAACATCATGCAAAGGGGGTACATTTGGACTCTTCCAAATGAGTTTCCGAGATCTTCCAAAAGACAATTAGTTTTGTCTGAAACTGTCATTCCAGTGGACATTGTCCCTCCAAGACTGAAATTACCGCTCAAATAATTTGTTTGTACGACTGGTACTGTGGCCCCCAATGGTGTGAATGTACACTTTGATGAATGTTTTGTTGATTGCAGATCTTTGGTGGTGGCAGTTTTCCATGATGTGCTCTGTCTTACTTTTCAGAATTGCTTCCAGTAAGCTTCAACCAAGAGCAACAACTAGCATGCACCTAAACTGAATTTATATATAAATTTGCATATACGGTTATAGGTGTATACTGTGTACAATCTAGGAATTAGTTTGTACAGACTGAGATGTATGCTCTGATGGTGCTAAACTGAATGGCAGTCATGCACTTTCTGACTGGGTGTGTACACTGTGTGTGTGTGTGTGCATGTGTGTCTGCGTTTGTGTGAGAGAGAGAGAAGCTTTTAACTGTCTCTTTCCCCCCTCCAACCCCACCTGAGAACATGGTTAAGTCCATAACACTGCACTGTCCCTTCTACTTTTCAGCACCAGTTATATCCCATTGTCTGCACTATGTTTAGCTTATAATCTTTATCATTATTATTATTATTGATGATTATTATTATTGCTATTATTACTATTGTTATTTTCTTAATTAGAGTTAAATTTAAATTAACTTATATTTTTTATACAAAGAAAAATAATGTTGGCCTTTTTGTTTTGTACAAAGTAAACATTAAGATAAACAAAACGGTCTAGACATGTTACTGTTACCCAGAATAATTGCGGAATGTCTCAACTGTAAATGTAAGAGCAGTAGCCCAAATGACTTTTATTAAATACCTGAAAAATATGTCTCTGTGCCAGATCTTTATTTCATGTTTGAATGATATTTTTATTTCATTGTTAATGCATACTATTCTTTTGACAGAGCTGCAGTGACAGTGTTGGGTGACAATGTGTCACTCCTGATTGGTCAGCGTGTTATTGCACTCAATCAGGAGCATTTGTTTAAATTAGGATCACAGTCATTTCTTTCTGCTTTCTTTTTTTTGACTGAAAGGACTGTAATCTACTGTACATATGGAGTAACATCTCACACCCCATTTTAAAACTACAATAATGTAAAACCATCTAAGATATTAAGATGCATACTTTTTAGTACTTAATATACAGTATATATTGGCTACTGGTTACTTATTTTACTACTGATCCATTAATTACTGCAGGAACTACAGTAATTCCTCTCTTTCCTTTTGAGCTGTTCCTGCTGTCATCTTGTACCACGATATGATCAACGGAAATACTGTGAAAACTTTATCAGAAATGGCTGCAGTACTATGCGCCTTAGTTTAAAAGTTTTATACGGTGGCTGTTGTTTGAGGGGAAGGATGGAAGGAGTATTCATGAAACGTAACTTTAGAGTGTTTAGCAGTTAATATGGGGAATATTACAGCCTTTGAATATACAGTATCATCAATGAAAATAAATGTTTTAACCCTCATTATGTATTTTATATGATGGTATTAATTACAGACAATTCCAAAATAGCAGCTCTTCAATAAAGTTTTTATTAACAGCATTCAAGCTACCAAGGTGACTGTTCTTGTATTTACTTTTTATTACTTTTAAATTCTTAAATTACCAGTAGAACATTAAGTTATCTATGGCTTTTATCAATCTCTTTTGGCTCTACAATCATAATCAGTGACCCTGAAAATGAACCTTTGTATTTCCTACCCACTGTCGTCTGCAGTTGCATCCTCAAACTTCAACAAAGTAAAGTTCTGGGAGCTTCTTCCATCCTCCACTGCATTATTTGATTTAACATCAACCGTTAATGGAGAACACAAGGATGCAAATGAATACAAACTCCATTGTATGGCCCTACTTATTTCAATGAAGCATAACATGTTACACTGTCTCTTCCCTCATGCTCAGCTTTGCCATCTGGGTGCTTTCCTATTCTGGCCGTTTAAGCCCCAAGGCCTCTCCTTCTCTTGCTCTCTCTCTCTCCTTCGCTTTGTGGGCTACACCCACTGCTGTGTGTTTACTTGCACTTGCAGTAACCCAATTATTGTGAATAACCAGATTAAGATAATAGTTTGATTAAAGCATTTACAGGAGTTTTGCAGTAACCAGATTTCCACAATAACCAGTTTACACAATTTGTCTGGTAATTAAAAGGATCTGTGGCAGCCCACAGGAAACAATTGAGTATAAACAAAATAAGAAAATCTTAGGAAATTGTTGGAGTCCATTATTTTCCACACTAAATAATCTACAGAGCACAAATCTGTTATTTAAAGACAGTGCAGAAACCACTTTTAAACCAGGTCATGTAGTATTATTTCTGGCATCAACAATGATGAGTCTGCTGACTTACTCTGCTGACTGGTTCTTCTTCAATCCCAGAGAAATAAAATAAATATATAAAAATGGCACTAATAATGACATTATTTTCTCTCAGTAGTTGCTAATATCAGCTCATTTTTTTTATCAGAACACATCCATAAATGCATAATCCTCACCTTGAAGGTATATCGATAGGGGAGCAAAATACTTGAATAGCCTTTTCCAATCCAGACCTGCTTTGCTATGACTCCAACACTGATGTTCACTTCAGCAGCTCGAGCTCCATCTTCTCTGCCCTGATGGTTAGTAGTTACAATTTGTCTTTTGTTTATTTCTTTGTTTTACGTTTGGCAGTTTGCAAAAAAGCAAACAACAACAAAAAGAGATTAAGGAAAACATGAAACCTTAATAACTTTGTTTGTGATATAAGACAAAAAATTATTTCCATGTAAATAATTTTAGCTGAATTGAACTGTTTTGTGGTGACATTTTAATACTTGTTTCCATACAAACCTACCGCGCACAATTTGTAAAAAAAAAAAACATTTGCCTAACCACGCACAAACGAGATGTAGCACGTCAAAGCTCATGGGTACAATTATTCCTCAGACACTGAACGCAACATTACGCGCTTCGGTCTCCTTGGCAACCGAGCAAAGAGCTGACTGTTGTGAGGCCTCGAAGAAAGTTTTTTTTTTTTTTTTCGTCCTGATTCCGCACAAAACTGCAATAAGTTGGCTGACAGGTGAGCTTATCATTTAGGTTTTATGTATGTCTGCTTTGTTCACAAGCTTCAAATGCTTATTAGCAATATATTAAAGTAATGTGAATGCAAAAAATTGCAAGAATTGTTGTCTGGAACCTGAGTTAGTTAAGTTAAGTTCGCTGTGGCGGTAATTTGATTAGTTTGTGCACTCTCTGCATTAATAGTTGCCTATGTGTACAATTACTTTAACTTAGTTAAAGAAATTGTACACATAGGCATTGAAGTGCTTTGCATAAACGCTATATAGGCTAAATAAATGCTGTTTATATTCTGCATTATTATAGCCTGCAGGAAATGTGTGTCCTTTAACACACTATGTTTGTGTGGTGTCTTCATAGCCATGTCCAGCGGCTGTAAGCTGAAGCCCAGGTGCTTTGGGAGCGACATCCACAGACTGCTGCTGGCTGCTGAAGCTGGTCAGAAGGCTGACATCCTGACCTACTCCTCAGGTCATCTGGGGCCCCGCAGCCTGAACCAGAGTCAGCCTCACAGGGAGAAAAAGCAGCCTTTCTGGAGGGCGTCTCATAGCCAAGAAGAAACCCCAAAGCCTCTGACACTCCAGCAGACACAGACAAAGGCACTGACCTATGTAAAGAGGAAAGAAATGAAAGAGTCTCCCTCTGAGTTCTCCACTGGCGCGGCTTTATTAGAGTCTGAAGGCTTGAGGTCAAGACCAGATCAGGCTACTGATCGCTCATCACATGCAGACAGGAGAGAAGATATATGTCTACCTAAGATAATTCATTGTTCCTCAAACTCTTTGCCTGTCCAAGCGAAAGCCTTTTCCCAGAAAAAGTCTAGCTCTTCATCTGATCCAAAGGGGAAACAGCAATTTAGCCCGAGCCGCTCTGACCAGGAAGGCCTGAATAATGAAGGCCAGATAAAGACCAAACAACGGTTTGGCAGGCAAGTCATAGCCAAGCAGGACGTCTGGGGTGGAATAAATGTTGCTGAAATGCATGAGAGGAAATTACAAAAGGTGAGAATAGCCACACAAACCATGACATCATGAAACTGGTTTTGTAATTGCACTTTTTTTTTTTTAACTTTCAGACTTTTTTAATATGTGAATTTTTCATGAGCAGGCTCTTCTGAAACGCCCTCCCGACACTCTCGCAGAAGGTGCATGAATAAAGACACGCACAGACTCTCCATGCACATCTTAACTTGCTGACGTCGTATGTGTGTGTGTGTGTGTGTGTGTTCCTGTCGTACTCAGGAGCTGAAGAAGTTGTCAGTGCAAAGCTGGCCCACCAGAGACCGCCTTGTGGTGTTCAGTGACGTCTTTGATGATGTATGTGAAGGCTCGCCAGTATTTGGACGCATCCTGAGGGAAATTAAGGTTTTTCCATTTCCTCCGTACCCACTAGCACATTTTTAGCATGTGCCGTCAGACGTATTAGAGCCAAGAGAGAGTGAGTCCCTGGTGTGAGCGAGCGGAAGTAGAGCAACCACTGGAACCTGGTCATGATGCGCCAGGGAGCAGGTCATTATAGGGCAACGCTTGGATTAGCGCTCATTCATAAGAAATGTCTGAGGGTCATGCAAGTTCCTTTTTGTGCACACAATAGCAGTCAGTAGAATTGCTTTGCATCGCTCTATCAGTGCTGAACAGAATTTAAATTAAATCAAACCAGTCTTTGCTTGACATTCATGTGTTGTAATGAGTAGACAGTGGGGTTGACATCATGCAGCAGAGATCTTGTTGTTGTTCGACAGCATAAAGCAGCAGGAATGAGTACTTGTTATTACCCTTTATGAGGACACAAACACACTGTGTGCATATAATTCAACAGTGGCTAAAAAATCACTGTAACTGAGAACATCTGTATTATTTGTATGGATATTTTATTTACAAGATCTGGCAGTTATGTTCATGATAAACAGTTGAAGCTCAAATAAATCCATGTGACAAGCACATGAGCAGTAAATTCAAATAAATGATTATGTGCACAATTTCAGTTAAGTTTTATTTCATATATTAGAAGAAAAACAACACATTTGGTCATTGCATGGAGTGAAATAATGTTTTTTTTTCCTTCTAGACCGATTACGATTTGTATGTCAACCACATGATGGCTTCCCAGTCATCCCTACATGAAATGGTAAATGATGTATTCATGATGAGACATGGATGTGATTCTCTGGCCTTATTTCCTGTCAAAAGCATTGACACCCTTCTGTGTGGGTGTCACTTGATCAATAGAAAACTAACATAATGGCTTCATGTTTACTGGGATGGATTATGAATCTCAGGCACCTTCTTTAACGTTTGTGGAAATTGCTTTTCATATTGTAAGAATGAGACAATATTAGCACTAATATTTCAGTGGATTTTTTAATACAAAGTCATTGCAATGTAACAAAACTGCAATTATAGCTCAGTCACAGTTTAAAGGGCCAAAGGCAATTTTTGTCACAGGTTCTGTCATTCATTTTAATGGTAGTTTTAGGCTACGTGTCCATTAGGAACTGAACTATGGCAATGAGATACTTTTTCAATGGAAAGAGGCTAACCTCATGTAGGAGATCAGGCAAACCCCACCTTTGTCTCTTTTAAATCACTTCTAAAAACGCACCTTTTTGCATTTACTTCAATCATTCCTTTCTGTGTAAGTCTAATCTATGCTACGTTTTAAATTAAATACTGTCTTTTTATTGGATTCTGCTTTCATTTAGCTGTTGTGAAGCACTAACTATGCTTAAAAAGTGCTATACAAATAAAATGTATTATTATTATGTACAGTATTTCTGACATAGCAGAATATGTTTATGGAGCTTAGAGAGTTGCGCATTATCAACAAGTAACACGTTTTTGTTGTTATGTTACAGCCAAATACTTCTCTCAGAGATCTTGGCAGCAGCAAAGTAAGGGAAATGGAGTTGGAGGATGCTGAACAAGAGGTCTGCAGGTTGGAGCAGGAGGCCAGAAGAGCTCTGGAGGAGAATAAACTGTACTGCAAGGATCCGTCCAACAACAAAAAAGAACATATATTTTGATACTGTACATTGTCATTAGTTTAAGCAAGTTTGTTCTCTTTTTAACCTCAGAGTCCGAAATCAATTACAGAATGTTCCAGCTATCATAGGCCCAGAGGACAGTGACATGAAGAGTAAGTCTCAAGACTACATTGGTATATTTAATCATTGGTGAACCACATCTAAGCATTTGCTGTATGTTACCCTACAGGGGCAACAGCACATGCTAACTTTTAAATCTCTGGTGTGGACAGACTGAACAAATAATCACTTTGTCATGACAACATGCATAAAGAGAGTTTTGTAGTTTCAGTGAGTCAGCTGTGACTTTATAATGCCTGCAGGAGAGTGTGTGTACAAGTACAGATACATCACTCGTCACTACAGCGCACCTCTTCTGGGCTCTTCTGTGTTTGGACAGGTACATCTCTGTCAGGGCTGCAGGACAGTGGGACTGCCATCGGCTGCACCGGCTGTCTCCAGTCCAAGAGGCTTCAGGTGTTGAACATGTGGAGGGAGATCCGACAGCTGGAGGAAGAGATTAAGGAGAAGCTTGTGTCCACTGCTACAACCACAAGCACAGAAAGGCACATCAAAGACATAAAGGTGCTGCCAGATGAACTGCATGCTTATTGTCACGTATTGTTTGCCCCTTTACATCACATTGAGCAATTAATTTTGCCTTTGCTCTCTTTCAGAAATAAAACTGAAGCAGGAAGTGTCTTTGATGATTGCTGAAAATGCACATGACTGCAGTTTTTATTTAGCTTCTTTTTCTGTTTGCTTCCAGACAGAGATAATGAGACTGATAGCCACAAATGACCGTCTGAAGACCACAAACAAGGCATGGGAGTTTGACCTCTTTCCTACCATATCATCATGTTACAGATTTTAAATGCATTTCCTGTTATGTGATAGTGGGCCTTGTGTTGTTACTCTGTAATTTTCCCTTAAAGGATCTAGAAAATAACATTAACATGGTGCTGACCAGAGAGAAAGCCAAAAAGACCCTGAGACGGTACATGTTATATTGCACATACTGTATATGTGACACTTGACCGTCTTGTTGACTTGTGACTTGTTTCTTACTTACTTCTGCTTTCCTGTGTTTTTACCTCTAGGATGTTGTGGGACGAAGTACAATGTGATCTACAAACAGAGAGCGAATAGCTTCTTCATCGAGTTAACCAGAAGATCATCTCATGAGATATTAAGTCAGACAGTTAAATAAAATGCAACGTGCAATAAAATGATGGTATTACTAAGTATTTAATAGAGTCAGATCTTTGACAACCAACATTAATTATGATTACCTTGTCCTAGTTGTAGCTCTTCGGTTTAGGCTCTTAACCAGAAATAACACAAGATCTAGATCACAACTTAAAACTTCCGGTATATCAGAAAGTAAGCAATAACACAATGTGAAAATACTCCATTACAAGTGCATTCAAATTTAGGTACAGAAATTTTAGAAGTAAAATGTATTTCAGATAAAAAAAAGTACTCATTATGCAGACTGACCCCTTTAAGAGTGTATTTTACTATTATTGTTACTGATGCAACATTTCAGAAATATTTTGATGTAGTCAGTTGAGGTGGAACTAATATTAGCTGCTTTATAGACTGTTGGATAGTTTAATTTATAATTAATGCATAATATTTTAAAATACGATCATGTGTTTTGTAAGTAAAATCTTAATTTACATATTAAATAGTCTTATACTACCAGTACTATGTCTGTCAAATTAATAAAGTGGAATAATAAATACAATATTTGCCTCTGAGAGGTAGTGAAGAAGAAGTAGCATAAACACTAGTAAATATATTTAAATAGTTTGTTCTACTGCTATTAGCAACACACATTTACTTTTGCTGCATAACCATCAACATTCAGGCTTTAAATAATGAAAGTGCTTCGTGTGCAGTGATCACATGCACATTTGGTGTTTCATAATAGAAGATAGAAGTCAGGTTTCACAGTTTCCAGTCTTCCTGCAGTTAAAGAACAGCAGTGAATCTGACACGTCACATATGTTGTTTTATTGACCCCGAGCAGTCCAACTAGTATATGTCTGTGTGAACAACATACACTGTAACTTTAAAATCAGTTGTTGTCTTATTTCAAAGGAGATAAAAAGACCTGTGCATGAACATGATACCACAGACAAGCCCTTCTCTCATTTATAAGTATTCATTTATACACACTGAATAAGGCATAGGGAGACAAAACCTGCAACCACATAACATAATTCACAGCTCATGTCAGTAGCACAGACCTCTGTTGTTGGACAGGGACACAACAACAAAAAAAATTTCCATAGCATTGGGAGCATATTACTCTTCAAACACAAGATGGCAGCAGAGACATATCAAATTAAATCAGATCATGTTCCCTTTGTCTCTGTACTTACAGTGCTGAAGTGTCGGTCTGTGACCTTTATCAAAAACAGTGAAGATCATTTGAAATGTGTGATGCCTTGATAAATGTCGCAGGCTTGAAATGCTAGCGTTAGATGTGCTAAAGTGAATATAAAGAGCAATTTCCCCCGTAGGCTCAAGTTCCATATGACTGGATGTGAAAATCCAATTATAGCTTTGTGAATAAAACTGTGATGAAATTAACTCATTTGATGTGTTCAAGGATCGGAGAGAATGAGATTATTAAAGCAATTATAGAAGCTTTCTTTGGATTGATATAGGGGTGACCTTTGCCCCCAACACGAGAGACTGCCTTGCTGTCTGCTAGAACCTGGTCACAGGTCAAAGTCCGCTCTGTGGCTGGAAGAGCCAGTACGAGCAGAGTGTGTTTTTGTCCCTCACTCTCTACGCTCTTCCCACCCTGTTAACAACACCTCGCTTTGTGGAGAACTTCCTCTGCTTGGATTGCCACCAACTCAACACCATGCTGCTTCGGACTGTGGTCCTGCTCTTCCTCTGCGTGTCCTCCGGCATGTGTGCCACTTTAGGCCACTACCAAGCCAAGGAAGAGGAGGAGGCCCCCGCTGTTACAGATGGTGCCGTAGCAGCGGCCTCTGTAGAAGAAGCTGCTGAAGAAGGTGTAGCTCCTGCAGATGCTCAAGCCGGTGATTCACCTGAAGCTAATTCCCTTTTTGGTGACAATCTAGCTAAAACACTTTCAGCAGATAACCCAGCTGACACACCTGAAGTGGATGTCCCTGTAGCAGATGGTGCAACAGCCGAAGAGCCAGGAACAGACAGTGACGGGCCTGCTGTAGACGCCCCTGCTATGGAAGCTCTTACTGATGAAGCTGTCACCCATGGGCAACCTTCCTCTGAGGAGGAGGAGAAGGTGAATGACATCAGACCAGTCCAGACAAACCAGCCCTTGAGCAAACCCTTGGCACAAGAAGAGAGCAGTTGGAGCCTCAACTCAATTAGAAATAGTTTCCAGACTGTGCATGGCTACTTTGACTCCCTGGTAGAGCTTGTGGGGGGACAAGATGGTGTGTGTCAGTACCGCTGCAGATATGGTAAGAGAGAGTCTCTTGAATTAGCATACTGTTATGTTACTGAGAACTGAGAAGTCTTTTAGTGTCCTGATGGTGTTCAGAGATAGCTATATAGTCAAAAATTGTTTTTATCATAATTTTTGTCAGTGCACCTGGTCTACAAGAGGTTTTCAGATGATTATTATGTTGTCTACATCCAACATTCCTTCTGTATGTATTTGTTTTGTTTTGTATTTGTCTAAGTACACTTTAAGTCTCAAATCAATCCCTCGGCTGTCAGTTAAATTAGCTATGTTCGTCTTGATAGGGCACTTGGCACTCAGGCTGCTGATAATGAGTACATTATGGTTATCAGTCTGGAAGGGTAAATGTTCCTACAGTCACACAATCAATACAGATGTTCTGAAACAGAAGTTACATCTTATCTGTGAAGATAGGACACACACCCAAGAACAGAGAGATATAATGTGGATCCTTGACTGGGAACATATGATGACGTTAGTTTGTACACGTGCCTTCACTTTAGTTCAGCAATTAAATCAAACTTCTCTGGGGGTTTTTTTGGTTTTTTTCAGGAGAACTTCCTCAACCCCGCCCCGGCTACCAGCCTTCTGAGCCCGACGGCTGCACATCCTCTCTGGTGGGATTCCAGGTGAATTCAGCTGTAGGTGGCCACCCACAGCCCAGACCGATATCATTAAGCCCCTACAGTGCTAACCTCAACCATACCTGCTGTAAATGCTATGTTCTGCTTGAGTAAACTTTTTTTCTTTTTCAAACTTTTTTTTTCTTTTAACAGCTTGACTTGGGGGTCCCTGCTATGACAAATTGCTGTAACCAGCTTGACATATGCTACGACACTTGTGGGACAAGCAAGTATGACTGTGACTCCAACTTTCGTTCATGTCTGCATGGCATCTGCACAGACCTTAATAAGAGTCTGGGCTTTGGGTCGAAGGTACAAGGTGAGATATTTACATATATAAATTCCTGTTTTCCTGGCTGTGTACTATGAGAACATATATGAGATGGTATAGTATGACACCTCACATACTTATTTCACTGCCTCTCTCCTCTCTCTATTTCTATGTATTTTCTTCTCAGCCTGCGAATCGATGGCAGACACTCTCTTCAACACAGTGTGGACTTTAGGTTGTAGACCTTACATGAACAGCCAGAGGGCAGCGTGCATCTGTGAGGGAGAGGAGAGGGATGAACTGTGACACAGATCACTGTGGACTCCTGCATGCTTTCACAGACAAATAACAGTCATAGGTATTTCTACAGTTTATATTGTATATCTGTAGGCTTTTTTTTTTTGTCAAAGAGGAGATACTTTACAAGAGCCCTCTGAAGATTCAGAGCCTGGGAGTTAAAAAAAAACAAAAATGGGGAGGGCAAATTAGCAGTTTCTCAGGTTTTATTCACAGGCATGACTAACAAATATTAGGTGTCTGAATATGACTTTCAGAATAATTAATTACTTATGCATGTTATACTCCATACTCCATTTCATTTTAGGCCATTTTTAGGCCTCTATGACTCCATTACCATAAATTACTTCATCACTCCAAACAAAGTGGCTAATGGGAAGGATATAGTAGTTGGATTAATTTCCTCTAGATAGAAAGACACAAGCAGTCTTGATTAAATAGCAGAACACAACGAAGCCATCGTAATTATCTTCTCTGCTCAAACCTTAAGTCAGTGTCATGTAAATGTAATGCCTATTACAGCTACTACGTTAATATTTGATGTAAGTTATTTGCCAGTTATTTGTTATTTTTTATGAACAAATGCATGACTAATTGCAGTTTAGCTGACACAATTATTCTAGATTAATTGTCAGAGCGACGAAGCATATGCATATTTTCCAGGCACGGCACACTGATATCTCTTTTCCACCGCACTGGAATGTGTGAAGTGCTCCTCAGCCATCGATTATTCTGAGCAAATGAGTCAGAATACATCTGTGGATGGTCCACGTGCATATTTCAAGTCAGTGTTGGTGTGAAATATATCAACAACTTTTTGTAAATCCACTAAATCTTTAAGCTCTAATCAAGCCTGAGAAATGCCTCAAAGTGTGACCTAGAAAAGCATTCTTCATGCTGTACTTGTTACAAATGAACTGTGGCCCATCCAAATGATTTCTAATAGAAATGTCATTCACTTTAATGTCAGTAAATTGCGCTGCCGGGCAAAGTAGCACACAAACTTGGATGTATTAACCAGAATTTAAGGGATCTACAGCACTGTGACTGACACTGTAATTTACATAGGAATAAAGAAGAGTGTATATACTGTACATCTGCATGTATATGTGTACAGCACAACAGACTGCTCTGTGTATATCTGCTTGGTGTTTTAAATACCAAATAAACTGAAATCTGTCAGTTCATCTTTATTAATCTAAATGTCACTCTTCAAATCCTGACTGTCATGGGGTTTGTGTAAGTGGCTTTATGTTAGCATCATGGCTCAGGCAGGATGAAGATGGGGCCTCCACTCAGTGTGTGCTGCCCTTGAGCTTTACGGGTCCGAATCTCTCGGCGGACGCGTCCTCGACAACGCTGAGCACAGTGGGAGTCTCCCGCCCCGCATACCAAGACCTGGCAGTGGAGGAACACTTGCTGTAAACAAAGGAGACAGGCTTGTTTTGAGAAGCGGTAGAGAGGAACAGCATAACAGTGTAAGGACCCTGCTAATTCTATGAATGCAGTCCTTACAGTTTAGTGCTACATAGACATAAGGCCACACACACTTGCCAGCTGGCTCCCAGCATGCCTCTTTTACTCACTCGGTTGTCCTTGCCAATGAACTTGAAGACAGGGACCTGGTAGTGCTTGGAGAGCTGATCCTTTGATGAGTACTGCGTCACAGTTTCATCAGAGATACACCTGAAATAAGAACCCAACGAAGGGGGATAGAGTCAGACATGCAGTTGACATATTAACACAGTGTTCAGTGATGTGTATATATTCCTAACAAGTCACTTTATCAAGGTTAGCTGCCCCAAGGCCCTGAAACAGTGTTGTATATTTAATAGGAAATTGTGAGAACATATTATAGAACTGCTCTGTTGGTGTCCGTAGAGTATAGCCTCACTTTGGGTTCACAGGAGAAATGGTTAGCCAAAAGTGAGTCTTCCCCAGATGATCTGTATTTTCGATTTTTTGAACTGAAAACATTTTTGTTTTCTTTCCACATTAAGCAGAGTGCGAGGCCGATGGCATTTTTCATTTGACATTTCATTGAAGGAGAGGAGATTTCCTGTCCTGTAACTGTCAAGCAGCAGATGCTAAGGCCTTGTGGAAACTCAGCAGCTGGGTTTGATCCTGTTGACATTTATTATAAGGACTTTTCATGGTGCAGGACCAAATGCAATTCTGGTATTAATGATACGATATTAAAAAGATAGTAATCTGCAGTTTTCAGTGTTTGTATAAGCAAGACCAACAAATTTTGTTTCTTACTTATAGTAGTATCTATACATGCATATACAGTATCAGGCACATATCTTTTTAGAAATGATTTTCAAAGATTATGTCTGTGTCTGTAATCCAACAACCTCACTGTCAAAGGTTTTTATTGAAACGACTTTGTACATTAGAAACAGTGTCTATGAAAACTGAAGACAGTGTGAAAAGCTCAGAGTAAGTGATTCTGGAAAAACACATTGCTGCTGATTTTGAAATTGTCACTGCTTTAAGCACTACCAACAAAATTCCAGTTAGCACCATTGTAAACAGAAGACAGATATCTTAAATAAAACCAAATCCATTTAGATGACTAGATACCACTGGAGGTATGTTAAGTGAGAAGAGAGTTTTGATGAATCTTGGTTTAGTGCTAAGTGGTCATTGTCATACCATTCATTACTGCTATCACATCGTTCATATAATGTAGAATTTCCATAAATACCACTTTCTTCTTTGTGGTCAGCCACAGTGGGTGTAATCAACAAACTTGTTATTTTTTAGGTACTAGAAAACACATCACTTTCTGAGTTTACCTGACACAGGCAAGTAAAAGTTATCAGTCTATTGTATGATATCTAACTAAGGCCTTTACAATAAGTGTGCTATCATGCAGCATAAGATGTGGCATTAACACTGATAAAACTCCCACATTATTCACCCATCTTTGATGAGGTAATACTTGAGGGCCTGGTCAGCTTTAGGCCCTGGTGTGGCGAAGCAGCTCTCCACCAGTGCAGAGAGGCCCTCCACTCTGTCTTTCGGCTCTACCCCAAAGAAGAGGGAGTCGTGCAGACGGAGCTGGGGCGGGGTGCGGTAGGGCTCTGAGAACTCTGCGTCCTTGAACAGCTCCAGGAAGAAGGGGAAGACTCCCTCGCTGTGGCCTGCCAGCTCGAGGGCTGAGCTGCGCAGACTTGCCTGGTATTCGTCCGACACGTGGTACTCCCTGGGGAACTCGCAGGTGACTGGGAGCACTAGCTTGCTGGTGCGGACTATCAAGTCCCTGCTGCTGTCTGGACTGCTCCTCGGGAGGCCTGTCACCAGGTTGGTGCCCACAATCTTGTCATCTGTCACCTGGGGGGTCAACATTCAATTTATAGTACTTTAGCTGTCGGTGACAACCTCACACGAGCCATTTTAAGCCACAGCTCTTTATATGATAATGAAACATTTCTCCAAGCCCTGACCGTAGGGACTAAACCATGAGTACATTCAGTCTATAAAAATCAACCCAATGCCTCTGACCTCCACCACTGTACCGCAGGTCTTGAGGCTGAAGCTGAGGTTGATGTGTGTCCCGTTGGAGACACCTCGACAAGACGAGTTGGACAGTGAGAGCTCCAGTCCTCCTACAAGGTCCTTAGGAACTGACACAACAATAGAGCTGGAATCACACTGTACTGGCACTGCAGGGAAGAGAGGCAAAGACATGACATAATATTATGGTCCCATGAAATTACACAAATCATGAAACAGTGCATTGATACAATGACAAAGAGCAGCATAAAATCATGTCACAGTCATGTGATTGGATGAAAACATATCACACAATCTGTTTGCTGGCTAAGTACATGTAAACATTAAGAAAAATAGAT